CTACTTTCCATGGTCCATTCTCAACAATGTAGCCAGAGCGATCCTTTTAAACATAATTCCCTGCTCAGAATCTTCCTATGGCTGCCCAATAAAAAGTGTAGTTCTTCCATGCGTCCACCCAGCCCTGCACAGCCTCTTCTCATGCTTCTCTGATGTCATCCTCCATGCCTTCCTCGGCTCTTTCCTCCATCCCTGCTGTTATCTTGACGGTCCCCTCTGCTTGTAATGCTCTTCCTCAGTGACCATCCTCATGGCTCATCCTTGCCACCTTCAGGCCTTCTCAAATGCCATTTTGTTGAATGAGTAAGTAAGTGGTAACAATTACTGCTTTCTCATTTAATTCTCACAGTAGCATTGTTGAGGCTCAGAGGTTGATTAGCCTAGAGCACTTTCTTTCACACTGTCCTGACTCTGGCCCACAGGAAGGAGTATATTATACATCCCAACCCAGTACTTGCTCACATGTTTGGATGTGTGTACATAGAAGCAAGACAGAAGTTCCACAAGACCTTAGTTTTAAGCCTTACTACATTTGAGACATTCTGACATTTTTCACTTTGCTCTAGTTATTTTATTACTAGTTTTATACCACTAAATTGATTTTAAGAAACATCTTTGAAAAATACTTGTCCAAGCTTTTGATTCTTAATCTGTTGTTTTTCCCCTGTGGCAACATCTGAACCAGCTTTCTCAAAAATCATTAGCACTAAAAACTGTTCAGTACTCAGCTAAGTTGCTAAGTGTGGTATGATAAGCTTATCTCTTTCTATGCTGACCTTTGTAAAAGATGACAAAGGGTTTCTTTGCACATAAATAGATGTGTGATTATAAAGACAGTACAGTGGGGCTAAGGGAGAAATTAAGATGGCTAACAGAACAGGAAAGGAAGGGAAAATACCTTTATCAAGCAATCACAAATACAAGCACTAAAATTTACCACTGATATGAAATGATGGCGGTCAGAAATGAACCGAAAATCAGTCAAGTCCAACCGAGGTGAGTGATTGTGGGCAGGCCACAGGCTTTGTCCCGGAAGCAAAGCCATGCCTCTGAGTTGGTTAAATTGAGTCAGCACCGGAACAGGGAGTCAGAATAATATTAAGGACGTGGTATAGGATGCTTGGTCGCTCCAGGTTGGTGACTTACCAGACTCTTCTTGTGGGCTCTTCTGAAGAGCCCAGATCTGGTTGACCTGCAAAGGCTTGTCCTTTGAAGCCAGGGGACAACCTGCACATGTGCTGGGTGTGGAGTTTGGTACATCCACAGCTTGCCCTCTAGAGAATGATAGAACTGTCACAAGTAGTCTTAATTACTTTGAATCCATTTTAATATTAAAAATAAATATCATAAGTCTTTTAACACGTTTTAACAGTCAGTCACCGGTGACTGACACTATACTTTCCGTCAGGAAGACAAAACGGGTTGGGCGCTTAATGTGTTAAAGAAAAATGGCATTATAAAATCGAACCAAAGAGATGAGGTGTTACAGTAACGTTATCTCTTTATGAAATGGCTTTCTTTGTCCAGAACATGGGTGGGTTTCAAGTGAGCTCCTTCTTTTTTGATATTGAGTTAAATGCCTATTAATCCTGCGATTTCTGAAAATTAATTGCACATCATTTGTCTAGTCCTTACTGTGTATGAGATACTAGCTCACCTAATCTTTACAACAACCTTAAAGGAGGGCATGGTCCATGCTCCCATTTCAGATGAGGCACCTGATAATCGACAGCAAGGGAGGAGCCAGCTTTCGAACCCCAGCTTCTTGGGCAGAGCCTGCACCCAACCACTAGGTTGTCTCACCTTTAGATTTGAGAAGAATGTCGGGGAAGTCCCAACTCAATCCCTTAATTTTGAATTAGTAATAATTTAGTTTAGACATAGGTCAAAGTTTCCTTTATGCTATTATTGACTATGTGATTTTGGTAAGAAAATAATATTCAGGAGATTGCAAGGTGTTTAGCATACATAAGAAAACAAATTATTTTATTCTTTACCATTTCTAACCTTTGTTAAATAGTAATTAGGATACAGTAGTCATTAGCAAATGATTTTTCACTTTCCAAATTTATGCCTATTTTTAACAGTCTGGTAAGACCTCTACTTTGCAACTCATTGTTAAATCCATTGCTAATGAATATATCCAGTAGTGGGGGGCGGAAGAAACTTTCCTCTACCCTTTAGATCAGGGGTCCTCAAACTTTTTAAACAGGGGGCCAGTTCATTGCCCCTCAGACTGTTGGAGGGCTGGACTATAGTTTAAAAAAAAACTATGAACAAATTCCTATGCACACAGCGGTGGCAAAAACACCCGGCGGGCCACATGTGGCCCACGGGCCGTAGTTTGAGGACCCCTGCTAGATTTTCTGGGCTGGTCTAATCAAATCCACCTGAGACAGATTAACATGAGCAAATAACCAAATGTAATTACATATGGGAACCCTGCATACATGAGATGTCCAGAGACAGACTGGGGAAATGAGGTATATGTGATATTCTGAACTAAGGATGATGTAAGGCACCAGGGGGCTTCAAAAGAGAGGAGGTTCATTGCAGGATGATAAGAAGAGCAAATGTACAGTAATTAGTAGTTTCTCCTGCCATATAGAGAAGTCAAAAAGGTTATCCTAATTCAATTCTTCTAGGTTGTTCGGAAGGCAACGTTTCTCTTGGGGTATCTGTTGCCTTTAACTCAAAAGAATCCACATACCTCAGAGACACAACTTGGGTGACTCGTTCTGAACCCCGACACAGTGATAAAAGGATTCCTTTCAGAATTATAGAAGTCAGGCATTTCAGTACATCATAACTACTTCTCTGAACTAGTAAGAATAGAACCAAACAGGAAATGGATAAGGACCCTAAATAATAAACTATTATTTTTAAATATCTCTTCCTTCCATACTTGCCATGGTCTAACAGCTTTTTTGATGGGTGAAAATGCCTGTGTTACAGTCTGTAGTTATAAAATCCCTCAATTTTAATAATTGATCTACTTATGCCATGAGACCTGTTTCTTCATATTTTCCATGTTATTTAAATAAGATTGTTTATACAAAGGCTTTTGTGTGCCTATAACCTGCTAAATATTGGCACCTCTGAAAAGACAGTTAATGGTCCCTGCCTTTGCAGAGCATTTCACCTGATGGAGAACTTTTCACTGCATTGTTTATAATTCTATACTTTGTCTTTCAGATAAACCCAAGCAATGGAGGGATTACAGCATTACATCAACCCAGCACATGCCATCTCTCTCCTGAGCGCACTCAATGAGGAACGCCTCAAAGGACAGTTGTGTGATGTGCTTCTGATTGTTGGAGACCAGAAATTTCGAGCTCACAAAAATGTCTTGGCTGCTAGCAGTGAATATTTTCATAGCTTATTCACAAATAAGGAGAATGAGTTGCAAACTGTATTCCAGCTTGACTTTTGTGAACCAGATGCTTTTGATAATGTCTTGAACTACATTTATTCCTCATCTTTGTTTGTCGAGAAAGGCAGCCTTGCTGCTGTGCAAGAACTAGGCTACAGCCTCGGGATTTCCTTTCTGACTAACATCGTTTCTAAAACACCTCAAGCACCCTTTCCAATGTGTCCCAACAGAAAAAGAGTATTCGTGGAACATGATGAAAACAGTTCTCAAAAGAGAAGTGTCATTGTCTGTCAAAGCAGGAACGAGGCACAAGGGAAAACGGTTAGTCAAAGTCCGCCCGATATAAGCCATACTTCCCAGCCCTCCCCAAACATTGCAGTCAAGGCCAATGCCAGTAAGCCACAGGTTTCCAAACCAGTCGAACCACTTCACGATTTGTCATTGACTGAAAAGAGTTGGCCAAAAGATGGTTCTGTGGGATACACAAAGTCTCTTGAGTGTTCTGGATCTTTGGATGATACTAACAGAAGCAGCCTGGGGAAAAGGAATGCAGTCCTGTCTTCTGCACCTCTGCAAGACAGAGAGGCAGTGGATGACAAACCAGGTGGAAGCAGTCAGCTGCCCAAAGGAAAAGCTATAGAACTGGCTCTGAAAAGGCCCCGACCGCCTGTTCTGTCTCTTCGAAGCTCATCAGAGACTCCCTATCTATTGAAAGAAACTAACAGAGGAAATGGCCCGGGCGAGGACAGAAACTTGTTGTACTACTCAAAGTTGGGCTTGGTGATCCCGTCCAGTGGGTCTGCTTCTGCAAACCAAAGCATTGACAGAAGTGGCCCGCTTGTTAAGAGTCTCCTGCGACGGTCACTGTCGATGGACAGCCAGGTTCCTGTCTACTCACCCTCAATAGATTTGAAATCTTCCCAGGGGTCGTCTGCAGTGCAAAGCGATGCACCAGGGAATGTGTTTTGTGCTTTATCTCAAAAGTCATCTTTAAAAGAGGGTAGTGAAAAACCAACCCCAGAAGATGGGACTCCAGCTGCACAGCCACACCGCCTCCGGTCCTTCAGTGCTTCTCAGTCCACAGAGAGGGAGGGTGCACCTCCTGTTGCTGAGGTTCGAATCAAGACAGAGCCCCGAAGCCCATCGGCGGATCCGTCCGACATCATTCGGGTCACTGTGGGAGATGCCGCCGCGGCAGCATCCAGCTCGAGAGACCTTCCTCTGAAAACAGAAGACAACCAAAAAGACATGAGCAGACTCCCAGCAAAAAGGAGGTTCCAGGCGGATCGAAGACTGCCCTTGAAGAAGTTGAAGGTGGACGAGCACGGCTCTCTGGTGTCCGAAGATAATCTCGAGGAAGGCTCAAGCCCCACACTCAAAGCAGATTTTCCAGATTCTGACTTGAGCAAAGATGAATTTGGTGAGTTGGAGGGAACAAGACCAAACAAAAAATTTAAATGCAAACATTGCCTTAAGATCTTTAGATCAACAGCAGGTCTTCACCGGCACATTAACATGTACCACAACCCAGAAAAGCCCTACGCTTGCGACATCTGTCACAAGCGGTTTCACACAAACTTCAAAGTGTGGACCCACTGTCAGACCCAGCACGGCATAGTGAAGAACCCGTCACCAGCCTCTAGTTCACATGCCGTTCTGGATGAAAAGTTCCAAAGAAAGCTGATTGACATAGTGAGAGAGAGAGAGATTAAGAAGGCCCTGATCATTAAGTTGAGGCGCAGCAAGCCCGGTTTTCAGGGGCAGAGTAGTTCCCCAGCTCAAGTCATCAAGAGGAACTTGAGGTCGCGAGCCAAAGGCGTGTACATTTGTACTTACTGTGGAAAGGCCTATCGCTTTCTCTCTCAGTTCAAACAGCACATAAAGATGCACCCCGGAGAGAAGTCTCTTGGAGGACACAAGGTCGCGAAGCCGAAAGCTCTCGCTCTTGATGGTCCGGTAGCGAGCAAGGAGGTTTTCCAGTGCCGCCTCTGTAACGCTAAGCTCTCTTCTCTCCTAGAGCAAGGCAGCCACGAGCGACTGTGCCGGAACGCCACCGTGTGCCCCTACTGCAGCCTTAGGTTCTTTTCGCCCGAGCTCAAGCACGAGCACGAGAGCAAGTGTGAGTACAAGAAGCTGACGTGCCTCGAGTGCATGCGCACCTTCAAGTCCTCCTTCAGCATCTGGCGGCACCAAGTCGAAGTCCACAATCAGAACACCATGGCTCCAGCCGAAAACTTCTCCTTACCCATCCAGGACCACAACGGTGAGGTCACCGGCTCCTCCAAGCCCCAGGCCCAGTCCGAGCCTCAGAAAGCAAACCACGTGGTCACACCAAAAGATGACAACGCGTTCAGTGACTGTTCAGAGCAAGTCAACTTCGATTCGGAAGATTCCTCCTGTCTTCCCGAAGACCTTAGCCTTTCGAAGCAACTGAAGATCCAAGTCAAAGAGGAGCCTGTGGAGGAAGCTGAGGAAGTGGCGCCTGAGGCCAGCACAGCTCCGAAAGAAGCAGCTTCCAGCAAGGACCCGGGCCTGTGGCCCTGTGAGAAATGTGGCAAGACGTTCACCTCGCACAAGCAACTGGAGCGGCACCAGGAGCTCTTGTGTTCCGTGAAACCATTCATCTGTCACGTTTGCAACAAAGCTTTTCGCACCAATTTCCGGCTCTGGAGTCACTTCCAATCCCATATGTCTCAGGCTACAGAGGACTCAGCGCATAAAGAATCTGAAGTGTGCCCTGTTCCCACAAACTCTCCGTCGCCGCCACCTCTGCCCCCACCACCGCCGCTGCCCAAGATCCAGCCCCTGGAGCCTGACAGTCCAACGGGTCTGCCTGAAAATGCAGCTCCGGCCGCGGAGAAACTGTTTGTACCCCAAGAATCAGACACACTTTTTTACCATGCCCCACCCCTTTCAGCGATCACATTCAAACGCCAGTTTATGTGTAAACTTTGCCATAGGACATTCAAGACCGCCTTTAGTCTTTGGAGTCACGAACAAACCCATAATTAAGAGACCTCCCCTTTTTCCCTATAACGAAATGGGAGCAGTCTCCAGATTTCAGCCTAAGTTGTGAAATGTGTCATATAAAACAAAAATATTTTTTACAAAAAAATAATAAAGGTTGGAAATTGTTATTCTTGAGTATAAGTTGGAGGTAAACTGACATTAATTGCTAATGTCTACTCAACTTAGGAAAACACTTAAAAAATACTGTGCTTCTGTACCTTACAGTCACAGGACAACTTGACTTCATTAATGTTGAAATTGATTGGTCTTGGTTGCATGGTTCCTCATTCCACAGTGTCAGTATAATCTTTAATTTGAGGTGGTTTTGTTTTCTTACTGATTTGCAGCTAGTGAAATACTATTAAAGGATTTCTGCTTTTAATTATATCAGACACATAAGTTCTAGTTAAATCTCAGCCATGTTCTTAAGTCCAAAACTTATCTGGAAGAAGTGGAGTAGTTTGCAGTGTTGATTTTAGGTCTTTAGAATACTCTAGCAATAAAAAAGTGATAAACCTCAACTTTAAGAAGTTATCCTGACACTTGATAAAAATATTTGGCATTTTGTGGTCATGTAGAATTTTTCCTATGAAATTTGTGAGAAATTTAAATCAGCAATAGTAAATACTTAGATTTTTATAAAATAAAAACTTTCTCTTGGGTCACTTAGTGTAGTTATTGCTGGAAGACTTGGGAGATGAAAATGTTAAGATTTCTGGAAGGCCCCTAAGGTCAGCTTACAAAGGTTTCTGTGGGGACACGTGTTGTGATCAGATTGCTGCTGTGCTGTGTCCACATCACAGTGCAAGTTCAGTCCAGCACTGGAAGGACTTAGATGTTTGGTTTCCTCTGGCTTATGCTGCCACAAGTTGAAAATCTGAGTGTATTTGGGACAAAAATAACGTGGCACTAATTTTGAAATTAATATTAGTATAACAAAAAGGTCAGAACCTATATTTACATAGAGTCAGCCCAGGGGCTCTGAATCCTGAATTACCATTCACTTCCAGAGATATGAAGCAAAGGGAGAAACAGCACACTGCAGTCTCCACATACTTTTCAAAAATGATATTGACAGTATACAGTTTCCTACCTCTTTGTCTTGTGATGAGTTCTGTTAGAATTGGTTTGAGTTTATCGTGGTAAAGCGTTCACGTGGTTCTGCTTCAAGTCACTGCTTAGCATTTCCTAAACGGCTGTTTAAGTACTATCAAGGGTCCAAAATTAGTTTTTGTGGGTTTTTTTTTTTAACTTCTTTTTGGCCCAAAAGGTTTGAGCTTTTTTGGTTTCCTATAGGTGTTATCCAAAGTTCTAGGGGCTTTTTCAAAAGGTACAATTTTTATTTTACTTGTGTGGGGTGGTCAGATATATAAAAGTAGAAAAATTGGGGAATCTACAAAATCCTTTTAAGGTAGTGATGTGGATTAAGACCACCAAGTTTATTAATTTTTTTTACAAGCTATTCTTTCAAAAAAGAAAAATTACTACTGTGACTAAGAAATAGTATGCTGAGTACTTAAATGTGTGCTGTAGCAGAAAAGAACTGTCCTTATCAACCTCATTACCCACATTCCAGACCAAAGGTAGGAAGGACAGTCTCTTTATTTGAAACACAAACATTTTTATAAAATACTAATTGACTTTGTACATTATGTAAATTACATATGAAATTTTGTGTTTTATTTTTTCACTAGAGGCCCGGTGCACGAAATTTGTGCACTTGAGGGGGGCTCCCTCAGGCCGGCCTGCACCCTCTTGCAGTCCAGGAGTCCGTGAGCCTGGCTTCTGGCTGAACAGCACTCCCCCTGTGGGAGTGCACAGTCTTTCCTCTGTTAGGTCAATTTGCATATTAGCCTTTTATTATATAGGATTTGAAAACTCAAAAGTCCCAAAATATTTGAGTGGTTACTTCCTGTTTCTGTTCTTAAATTTGATGGTGAAAGGAAAATAAAATTAAGTTACAATTAATGGTTATTACAATCTTTATATTTCCTTAAGTCTGCATTTTAGAGACAAAACTAAAGCATACAATTTAATGTCAAATATTAGGATGAATTATTGTCCATTGAGTTCATTCCCTGTATGATGTGGTATTTCATACTCTGAACACTTTGGGATCTATCCCTTTAGTAGAAGACAGTTTCCCTCAGAGTAATCATTACTTATGGCTGTTTGAGTATCTAATAAATCCACAACACACAGTATCTTGGCATTGTAAATTCAGTATCCTAGGACTTGAACCTTTATGCCACTTTTTTGAGGTTTTTTAAATAAAGTTGACCAGTAAGATATTTTTGATCTAAATATAGGCGCTGTGAATCTGTTAGATTTTAAGAATTGCCAGTGGTTTGTCTTGTTAGTTCACATTTTTGTCTAGGCAAGGAACATAAGACTTCAAATAAAATTTTGAACCAAAAACATTTATAATGCAGTTCTGGTTTTTCTATTACTTTTTATACTGTATCTTAAAAGCATTAGGCGGAAAGAGTTTATTTTGGTGGTCAAAAAATAAAATATGCTTCCACTCGTGTAACTATTTTAAGCGTTAAGAAGTAAAATAATGAAAGACAAGTTTATTGCTTTATTCAGTAAACAGGTTTTTAAAGAATATCTCAGTAAAATACTCGGTGTAAGACGACTTGGTCTTTCATTGTTGCAACTCTTTAGCTAGCAAATATATTCTTGAAAAAAGATTTTTCTGATTGTAATTAGTTTTGGAAGTGTAGAAAGTTCATTATTCCTTGTAAGTATTCAGGATGTCTGCTTTTTTATGCAGTTGTGGAAAGAATGTAAGATGTTTTAATATATTCTTTGTTAATCTGAGAACTTGTTATTGAATCATTTTCTTCATGTTGGGGAAGGAGGGAGGAACATCATAAAACATTTTTATTAAGGTAAGCAATGGAGGTAACATTAGTGCACATTTTTATAGTAATATTTCAAGAATAATAGAATATTTACCTTTAAAACTGGTTATGGTTTGTATGTATTTATAATTTTATCAAAATATTCAGCTAATGATTCAACAGTGATGTCATGTGCATTTGTGGGGAGATTAAGTGGTTCTTGGTTTTCTGATCTGGAACAAGTTGTAACAACCTTCTCTTTAAAAATATGCCCCAGCACTTAATTGGTTATACTCTAATCCACACACAGCACCCCCTGGTGCTGAGGACAGACACAGACAAGAATAAAACATGGCCTTCCCTGGAGGTAAGGGGTGTTTCATCCACAGGCCAACTGGCCACGGTGAGGGGGAGACAGGATTAACTCATCTAAAGTTGGCCTTGTTCCCTCTAAGTGTGTGTGTGTTCCATAATCTGAAACTGTGGGAAGTGAAATTATTTGCCTTTTCTTAACTACAAAAAATAATTAGATGTCATTCATAACATCTCTTTATAAATTGCACTAATTAATATTGGAACATTATATCAATTTCTGATGTATCAATGTTTTGCAGTAATTGTGAAAAGCATTGATTTAAATAATGCTAACACATTCTTTAATAAGTTCTTTAACACTGGCCTTTTTAAGTTTTAAAGATGGGTTTTTCCCTTGTGGCTTTAGCACTTTAAGAAGTTTGATGTTTGCCTAATTTTTGCCATGTTTGTTCAGTGCTATTCTGGCTACGGCATTTCCACGCGACTAGGAAGAAACCGAACAGTCAGCGTTTAGATCTGGAGGAGAAAAATGAGTTAATGTACGGCTTTTCAAAAATTCCTTATAGAGGCAGTCATTTGTGAACCAAAGTATTCTGCTGTAAATCTGTAAAATAATTGAATTCAGTGCTCTTTGGTCATTTGTTAGTGCTATCCAGATTTTCCAGTTACATACTTGGTTAATATTGATTTTCCAAAAGTGATCATTTCTTATTGACATTAATCCAAGACTGTTCAAAACTTTTATTAAATATATGCTTATTGTTGAAAGAAAAACAAATGTGGTTTTGTAATTGTGTATTTTGTTGTTATTTCCTTAGCAGAATAATTCATTGTTTGATTTTATTTAGGAATAAGCTTTTTGGACTGAAAATTCATAGTCAAATAGGATTTCTGTGGAATGTTAATCCATTGCTTATTCGTATCCAGTTCTGTTGTCTGTTTACTTTGCTTAAATCTTGACTAAGAATGATGGGAGTCAATAAATTTGTACTGTATTTTGTTTGGAGTCTCAGTCTCATTGGTATGTTTTAGACTTTGATACTAATGATCGATAGCATTTAAATGTATGAAAGCGAAGATAAAACCATCTACTTGGCTAATATGAATAACCACCTGCAAGTTGTAAGAGATTTAATTTTCCCCATCAGTTGCAAGTTACTTGTAGAATTGATTGCACTAAAGCTTCACTAATTTGGGCACCAGAAATATAACTAAAACCATATAAGCAGTAATCTGCCTGGGCACCTTTTTCTTTACTGTTCAAATTAGTATTTTTACAAAATGTAGAGGTAAATGCATAAAAAAGTTCGTATCAAGTGATAAACTGTTTCTTAATTTTATAAGGCTTTCATGTTGTAGCATCCTTTTTCCTTCTAAGATGGCTCTTCCATTACACAGGCATATATTAACTTCATCCATGTTTTGTAATAGAGGTCCAGTGCATGGATCCATGCACCGGTGGGGTCCCTTGGCCTGGCTGCGGGGATCAGGCCAAAACCGGCTCTCCTCTGTCGCCCGAGGAGTCCTGGATTGCAAGAGGGCACAGTCCAGGCTGAGGGACTCCACTGGTGCATAAATCCGTGCATTGGACCTCTAGTATGCATATAAGATCTTCGGTTAATCTCTTCCCACCCTCCCCCCTCCTCCCTTCCCTCTGAGATTCATCAGTCTGTTCCATGTTTCCATGCCTATGCATTGAGCGTCTGCCCCCGATGGTCAGTGCCCATCATAGCTACCGGTTGATGGCCAGTGGCTGTGGAAATAGGGAAGTAGAGACCAGATGGTCCTTACCGATTCCCTCCACCCAGGTTTGCACTTGCCTCTTCTGATGGTTTTGGTTTCCTTGCCTGATACCCTAAACTAGCCTTTCTGGGGAGCGTCTGGCTAAAAGTTTCTTGAACACACTTCACCAGGAATAAATGGCAAACTTTATTTGAATCTCCTTTAGCCCTCTTATTCCATTTCCACCAAATAGATTTGTCATAAAATTTTACATCTGTCCTTTCTTAGTAAATTACAAGCTTTTCCAAGTTTGAGATTATTGCATTCCTGTCACCTCCTCCTGGGTCTTGGGTCCACACGCAAGGCAATGTCCAGCGGGTGATATTTTTTCCTAGCCAGAGAGGCTGTCTTGGCTCTGTCAATGTCCGCTCTTATGAACTATGGAGTTGAGTGGAAGGTATTCTTTGTACAAGGCTTATGTCTGGAGAAAAATGTCCCCCTGTTGTCATAGAAACACTTTGAAAATAAAGCATGGTGCAGCCCTCCTGTGCCTGGATTCAGATGTCATGCTCAGCCATGGGCCCCCATTCTTGGCAGTGGGGTCCTTTGGTTGGTTGGCTGACCTCATGGTCGTGCAAACCTGCATTTTGCCCAGCTGAGTGTCTTAGCCTGGCGGCATCATTTCTTCTAGGAGTTACTCCCCAACCCCTACTCGTCCGTTCCCCACTCCAGGCTAAAGTAGTTCCCCCTATGTGTTCCCAGAAAGCCCTGGGATAGCCCAGTTACTCTGTGGCTTCCATTTTGCCAACCTGTGGTCTATCCAACAAGAATGTGACTGGCCCGCGGGCAGGGACTGTTGGTCAGCTTTGTGTTTCCATGGCTGGGCCTAGTAAGTGTTTGATAAATAAATGCAGCAAAGAACTCTTGTCAGAGGCAAGAGACAACCAGCCCATTTATTTTCCACTACTATCAGAAGGAAACATGCTGAATACCTGCATATAACCTGGTACTCTCCAGATTTTCATTCAGCTACTCAGTGAGAGACCCAGAGAGTGTTTTAGTTTGTATATGGTTCCCAGTAACTTGAGGAGGAATGGAAATGTTCTGGTGGGTGGTCTTAGATGGGTGAGTCCTTTGGATTGTAAATGCCATGCGCTTGTTTTGGGTGTGTATGTGCTGTGTGAGTGTCGCTGGCACTGCTGAGGTGCCCATTATGTCACCCCAGTGTGGCAAGTTGTCTAGATAAACTCATCAGTAAACGTAAGAATAGTAATAGCTAATGACTAGTTATTACTAGTATTGTAGTAACAGCTAACAGTGAGTGTTCACTACCTGGGAAGCATTGTGCACGTGTGTGTTCCATGTGTGTAAAGTAGTGACAGGCTGGTTTTCCTCCCATATTCTTACTTTTCCTCTCTCCCCACACATCCCCATTTTCAGCCCTGTAATCTCTCGTCCCCTCAATCTGGAAAACTCCTCAGTCGTTTTTTTACTTTCATGGCCTCGGTAATTTTGAAGATTATGGACCAGTCACCTTATGAGCATCCCTTAATTGGAGTTTGTCTGCTGTTTCCACATGATTGGACCAACGTTATGCATTTTTGTACCAGAACATCACAGAGGCTGTGTTTTTGTATTTCAACCTATGGGTGGCATACTACGCCTG